TCAAGGCTGAAGCTTATAAAATGGCTGCCATGAAAATCAACATGCAATTCAGGACTGATTTCACTCACCTTCATGTCATTAACCACTTGAAATGTTTGAGGAACAAATTCAATGACATGAAAGCTTGTCTTGATATAAGTGGTGCTGGGTGGGATGAAACAAGTAAAATGATTACATTGGATGAGGAAACCTTGAAATCTTGGGCCCAGGTATAACAAATTCAGCATCTATATTGTCACCTTCAATTTAATACATTTGATTCACTACTTATAAGTATTTATTATTGCAGGACAAATCCAATTCTAAGTACAAAGCGTACATAAACAAACCCCTTCCTCACTTCAAAAATTTACAAGTTATCATGGGTGATGATCAAGCCAAGGGTGATTTTGTTAGACCCGTGTACATTAACATTGGGTCTAGTAGGTCCATACCTATTCCCGATGATGATTGCGAGATTCTAGAGGAGAGTGAAACTGAACCACAGTCTGATGCTTGCAACCAACCACGTTCTGGTGCTGTTAACCAACCACAACCCACTAGATATAAGACTAAGAGTAAAGACAATATGACTTCATCATCTAACAAAAAAATCAGAAAATCTAATCGTGAAGAGGAAATGCAATGTGCCTTTGTTGAGTCCATGTCTCAGTCAATGAGAAATCAACACATTATACACTGGACTGAGCAGTTGGCTACAGCGTTGAAGAAACATAGGTCTGAATATTCTGAGGAATTCCTCGATAGGGTTTTAGACCATTTATATGACAATGAACGTGAAGCTAGGAGGTTTTTCATAAAATCCAAGGAAGGTCAGCAGAGGTACATCACAAAATTAGTTAGCGACCAAGGTTGGCCGGATAGCTAGTTTGTTGGGTTTCGATTATATTTTGATGGATATTGTTGTGTTAATTGCAAACTATTAATGTTGCAATCTTATATTAGTATTATGAAGAACATCTATGTCGTTGTGGGATTGATGAATTGGTATATTTGCAATCTTTGTTGCAGGTAAGTATGGTCGTGGAATGATCAATGAGTTCTTTGAATTTTGCCTTTGCTTTTGATATCAGGTAAATGGGTTTATTACTCCATAGGTACTGCATTGGTTTATGTGGGTTTGTGGCTGTTATTGGGAGCTTGTGCAGCTCCTGCTGCGTAGGTATGGCCAACTGTTTTCTTTTGAGCTTGTGTAGCTTCTTGCTTTGTTTTGAGCTTGTGTAATTCCTTGCTTTCTGGGGTTTGTGGCTGTTATTGGGAGCTTGTGCAGCTCCTGCTACTGCTGGGGTTTGCCAACTGTTTTCTTTTGAGCTTGTGTAGCTCCTTGCTTTGGTTTGAGCTTGTGTAGCTCCTTGCTTTCTGGGGTTTGTGGCTATTATTGGGAGCTTGTGCAGCTCCTGCTGCTGCTGGGGTTTGAGTACTGCATTGGTTTGAACTTGTGTAGCTCCTTGCTTTGTTTTGAGCTTGTGCAGCATTTGTTTTCTGGGGTTTGTGGCTGTTATTGGGAGCATGTGTAGCTTCTGCTGAATATTCTGGGGTTTGAGTACTGCATTGGTTTGAGCTTGTGTAGCTCCTTGCTTTGTTTTGAGCTTGTGCAACATTTGCTTTCTGGGGTTTGTGGCTGTTATTGGGAGCTTGTGCAGCTCCTACTGCTGCTGGGGTTTGACTACTGCATTGGTTTGAGCTTGTGTAGCTCCTTGCTTTGTTTTGAGCTTGTGCAGCATTTTCTTTCTAGGGTTTGTGGCTGTTATTGGAAGCTTGTGCAGCTCATGCTGCTGCTGGGGTTTGCCAACTGATTTGTTTTGAGCTTGTGTAGCTCCTTGCTTTCTTGGGGTTGTGCTTGTTATTGGGAGCTTGTGCAGCTCACACATTGCTGGGGTTTGCCAACTGTTTTCTTTTGAGCTTGTCATATTCCTTGCTTTGTTTTGAGCTTGTGTAGCTCCAATCTTTGTTGGGTTTGTGCCTGTTATTTGGAGCTTGTGCAGCTCCTGTTGCTGCTGAGGTTTGCCAACTGCTTTGTTTTGAGCTTGTATTCGATCATTGCTTTGTTGGGTTTGTGCCTGTTATTTAACAATTTGTGCAGCTCCTGCTGCTGCTGGGGTTTGTTGCTGAACTGTTTTGAGCTTGTGTAGCTCATGCTGCTGCTGGGGTTTGTTGCTTGTCTGTTTTGAGCTTGTGTTGCTCCTTGTTATTACAGGTTAAGCTGTTATTCCTCAGTTGTGCAGCTCCTGCTGCTGCTGGGATTTGTTACTGTTTTATTTTGAGCTTGTGTAGCTCCAATACAGTATGGGTTTGTGCCTGATAATTGGAGCTTGTGCAGCTCCTGCTGCAGCTGGGGTTTGGTGCTGTTTTGTTTGAGCTTGTGTATTTTTCAGGCTACTGCTGGGGTTGTGCCTTTTGATTTCAGCTTGTGCAGCATTTGCTGCAGCTGGGTTTTGGTGCTGTTTTGTTTGAGCTTGTGTAACATAGATGCTCTTTGGGGTTGTGGCTGTTATTGGGAGCTTGTGCAGCTCCTGCTGCTGCTAGGGTTTGTTGCTTGTTTACTCCCTATCTGCTGGGTCTGTTTTATCTTGTTAAGAGCTTGTGTAGCTCGTGGTTGCATTTTGTGTTGCTGTTTTGGTTTTCCTTGCCTGTGGGTTACTTGCTGTTTTGGTTTGCCTTGCCTGTGGTTTTCCTTGCACTTGATATGTGGCAATTATGATGATCAACGTTTACTGATAATGCAATCTAACTTACATCATTTATTATATCCAGATGAGGCAAAAGGGGATGAGATTGTAGCCTACATTGAATTGACAATGTCTAGGCGAGGCAATTCATCCGTATAATGCAATCTGTAATAAACATGTAAGTTATAGGTGAGGCAATCAATGATGACAAGTTGATCTATTACTGAGCCATACAATATCAATTAGAATTTGTACCCAAATCAAACAACAGTTTTCATTACATCCTCAATAGTTTTTGCAAGTACAGGTACATGACATAAAGTTTGTAATAATTAAAATAACAAAAAAAATTGCTAAGAAAATTGCAGAAATTTTCCAAACTAGTAGTTGATTTTCGACAAGTCTCAATTTTTTCTTCAGCTTCTTTGATTGCAAAGTATATTTTTCTCCGTACCTATTTTCTTTGACATATTGGCTTCCTTGGTTGCTTGATGACTCTCCGCTTTCTTCAGCCCATTCGAAAAAATTACATTCTTTATTTGGGAATTTTGCACACCCCCAATAACACCTACCCTTATTTTTACCATTCTTGCACACTTTCATCAGTGTTCGAAGATGGCAGTCGTAATAAACTTCATAATTCTGCCAGCACTCTTCTGATATCGTTTTCATGTTGGGGCAGCAAATTGAAGACAATGAGAATTTTATAAATGCTGAAAATGAGATTGCTTGCCTTAATTGTGAGGCTTCAAGGTGAATTTATAGGCTCCATTGCACTATCCTAGCCGTTGCTACAATGTTTTGTTGCTGAATTTTAAAATCTGAATTTTGAATCTGAAAAATAGCCGTTGCTACAGTGATTTCAGCAAAAAATCTGAGTTTTGGTGGCTAAAAACCGTTGCTACAGTGAGTGTTTAAATGTAAAGGGGGCTTGGCTTTGGCTACAGTAACGATTCCCAAAAAAGGGTCTTTTTGAAGCAAACATGGGATTAGGAATTGGACCATTTCTATAAAAGTGAGATTCTTAATCCTTTGGGTGAAACAAACATTGAATGACAAAAAAATGGGATTCCATAAAACTAAAACTTGTCTATAAATTTTTTATGAATTAGGTTGGAATCCATAAATTAAATAGGATTTCTAATCCTATTCCTAGCCCTTGGTGAAACAAACAGCCCCTTAAGCCACCTCCTCCAAGACCTCAAATCCGATTGCAAAAACCACCACTAAACTCACAGTGGTTTGCAGGAACAACCATCACCGCAACCAAGAGGCTCAAGTGGTTTGCGTACATTCAATTGGAGAGGTCAAAAATGTATAAAAGTTACTGATACGGAGAGGAATCAACGAAAACACATAATCGAACAATATGAGCATCGGAAGCTCATGGGAAATATGTGGAGTTTGATGTTTATTTATGATTTCATTCTATAGAGGATTTTGCGGTTTTGACCTTTGCTTCTCAACGTTTCAGTTTTGCTGTTGTTCTTCATTTATTTATTTATTTATTTATTAAGAGGGCAAAGAAAATAGTGGTTAAATCATTAGACAACAAAGAATAAACTAGTATATTCACATCTAATACTCATATTCCCATATATTTGTAATTTTCCAATCTTAAGGGGTTATTTACAACTTTTAGATTTGACAAGGGGAATTTTGCAATGTTTCTTTCTGATTTTTGGATTTTTTCCGTAGGGTTGTTTGTAATTTTCAAATTTCGCCGGGTGCTACTTGTCCGTTTTGAATTTTTTTTAGTTCTCAGAGTTTCCGGGGGTGGTTTTTGTTATAATTTTTAGATTTTCGAGGAGCACTTCTAATTTTTTAGGACCCTTATGAAATTTTTAGAATTTTCGTGGGCAAAAAATTCATAGTTATAAAATTTGGGGGGCATGATTGTTATATATATGAAAAAAAAAACTATTTTCTTGTAGTTTATCGTCCACGATGGTGTTTTTGACCATGCCTTTTAGCCTATCTACAACTGACTAGCATGGCAGATACAGCGTAAGGCAAAGACATTCTCTCTCCTGATTCCATATATCAGAGTAGTAGTTATTAACAAAGGACACAAATACAGCAACCTTAGAAACAAATGAACAGGATCAATCCACAAACTTTTAACTGAACAACAAACAACTTTTACATCAGTTAATTATACACCTTCCTGAAACTAATTTTCAAGAATGCACTGGACTTGGAAATAACTGTCACAGGGTAACACAATCCCTCCAAATTTGGAGAACTGCAAGAATAGCGAACTAGAAACCAAAAAAGAAGAAAAAAAGAAAAACACGACAAGCAAATTGCATTAACAACACGGCACACCTGTAAATTATACACCACTCTGAAAACAAGTTTTATTTCTCAAACTTCGTTCTCCTCAAACAAATACACAGAAACCAGCACGCATCCAACCAACCAAACATACACATACAAACGAACCTTATTATGTTACAAGTCAACCTTTCAGGTAATTTACAGGATGATACAAACTCACTCAAAGCAAAACATAGAAAAACAGTGTTATTAAATTTGCAACTCACACTGCTGACGCTGGTTTACTTTCTTGAAGAGAGATCACAGTTTCAAAAGCACCCACCAGCGCCTTCACCTTGCTCTTCCTTGTCTCCACAAGCTTGCTCGCGGTCTCTTCAATCACATGATTGAAGAGAGATTGTGCGTCTTTCTTCTCTGTCACTCCTTGATGCTTCAAAACAACAGATTGTACCCCTGAATCAGGAATACTTGACTCTAAATTATCCTTCTTTCTCCTGAAGCTTTTCCCCCTTAGCAGACTAGCGCCATTGAGATTGTCACTAGCGAATTTTCCAAGATTGAACCAGAGTCTTCTTGATCCCATGCTATCGGACCGAAGATTAATTATTTTGCCTCTTTTAAACTTCAACTTGAAAGGTGCAGAAGCATTATCTTCTTGGCGAGCACTAGCAGCTGCGATTCTTCTAAGCATCTTCTTCTCAACGTCTATCGACACTCCAGCCTCATTATTTCTTTCTATTTCCTCGTCATTCAGACCACTAGTTGCAGATTCAGATTGCTCAATCTTCAAAGCTGGATCTAAATTGTTGCTTCCTGTTTTTGTGTCTCTATTGTCAGCCTTCCCAGCTTTTTCTTTATCCTTCATAGAAGAGCTCCGCTTCAAGCTCCTAAGCTTTCTTGGTTGCAAGCTTGAAAGACCCTCACGAGACATTGAGTTATGTTTTCCATTCCAGAGTCTATTCCAAAGTTTTATTGGTTGTGAATCTGAAACATTTTCATGAGATGTAGAGGTCTTCTTAATGCTCCTGAGTTTCCTTAGCTGCAAGCTTGAAGCATCGTCATGAGATGTAGAGGTCTTCTTAATGCTCCTGAGTTTCCTTAGCTCCAAGTTTGAAGCATCGTCATGAAGTGTCGATGCCCTCTTAACGCTCCTGAGTTTCCTTAGCTGCAAGCTTGAAGCATTGTCATGAAGTGTCGATGCCCTCTTAACGCTCCTGAGCTTTCTTAGCTGCAAGCTTGAAGCACCGTCATGAGTAGCTAGAGTCCGCTTAATGCTCCTGAGTTTCCTTAGCTGCAAGCTTGAACTACTTTCATGAGTACTTGTCCGCTTAGTGCTCCTAAGTTTTCTTAGCTGCAAGTTTGAAACAGTCTCATGAGGCTTTAAGGGCTGCTTAATGCTCCTGAGTTTTGTTGGTTGCAAGTTCGAAACAGTCTCATGAGGTGTCAAGGTCCGCCTCGTGCGTCTGACTTTTCTTAGTTGCAAATTTGAAGCATTGTCTTGAGGTACTTTGGAGGAAAGAGACGCTTGGGTTGGCTTCAATCTTTTCCTCTCTACAACTTTTGATGTTGTGTGACTCTTCGATATTTTGTCATCCTTATCTCCTTGAGCACTATCATTTTGTGTAGATTTGGAGGAAGAATCGGTGGATGTTTTTGACAGACTCCACGTGATCTTGTTCCCTTGATTTCTTCGAGCAACTAGACTTTGTGAAGACTTGCGCTTAGATAGAGACCTTATTAGCGGAGTCTTTGTCTTCAAAGGGATTGCTGGCTTTCCAGCACCATCAACTCGTTTTGGATGTAAAGATGGCCCTTTCTGCTTGATTCTTTGGGTTTCTTTTATGGCAACTGGTTCATTTTGCTGAGTCACTTCGTGGATAATAGGTGATATAGGTTTCTTGGCAGATAATTTAAGCTTATCACCGGTGATAACACATTGCTTGGAGGCATCCATGCTAGAATCAGGTGAAAGATCCTCCAATTTTATAACATTTGGCTGGTCAGGAGAAGATTTGGACTGAAGAGGAGAAAGACGAGTCCCTCCTTTAATCACTTTTACCTTGTTTCCTGAGTTTAGACTTTTTACCTGACCTTGTTCGTTCTCAAGGGATGACTGAATTGTCTTCTTCTTCACAGATGGTGGAGTCTGTGGCTTTGGGCTTTTAGCGTTATCAGGCAACTTGACTTCCACATTGGGCATTGCCTTTGGCTTTGTCACTGTTCTTATCCTCCTCTCCTCAGGAACTAGAACTGTCACTTGATTTTGTTCTTCAACTTTGACTTTCTCCTTCTTCTTCTTCTTCAAGAATTTTCTAAAGCCTAGATACCTTGCCTCAGCCTCAGAATCATGTTTCTTTCCGTATTTGCAAAAATCATGGCAAGAAGCCATGTGGGGGCTCAGATAACGAGATTGAACTTTTTCCTCACTTTTTATAGATGGTGAACTGCCGGTAACTGAACCACCAGAAGTCTTCTCCAACTCTGCATTAGGCGTTAGATGCGCAGGGGTTGTTGAGCCGACATCGCTCTCCATGACCTCCTTGGTCATTGCAGCAAAACAAGGTTGAAGATTGAAAAAAATTCAGATACTAAGAAATTATCCACACACCTGTAAGTTTTGGTAGGAAAAATATGAGAAATATGTAAACAGAGGAATATATTGAAATACAGATGGGAGTCACAATAACTAATCTTAATAACCATGAATTTCTATGAAGAAAAAAAAACATCAAAATCTGAGACACAACATTAATCTGCTGGTTATTTATGGTATCATAGAAAAAAAAAACAGTGGAATGGTTTGATGGCTCGAACGACACGACTTGGACAATTTCAAGTCGTATGCGTTTTTTAGGTTTAAGTTGGAAATGTCGGGGATATATTGGCCATATCGGCCGATTTTTCAGCTTTGAAAAATCGACCGATACAGCCTTTTTCTTTTTTTTTGCTGTTTTTTTAGTCGGGTTTGGGTTTAGTGCTGAAAACCTGATTCCATTTCACTTTTGACCTATTCTGAGAGATATGAACCCGATAGAAAAACAAAAACAAAGCCTAGGGAAAAATCGCCGCCTCGTCTTCATCCTCATCGCTGCAGGGTTGGAACTGTAACTGCCTCGTCCTCTCTCTCTCTCTCTCTCTCTCTCTCTCTCTCTCTCTCTCTCTCTCTCTCCGCTACGAGGCTGTGACTTCGGAACCATCGCCGCCTCTTCCTCTCTTGCTTCCCTGCGACGTCAGAACCAACGACGACTTCAAGCTTTCCTCTGGCCAGTCACGGCGAGTCTTCTTCTAGCTCATTCTCTCTCTTGAGTCTCTCTCTGAGTCTCTGTCCCTCTCAATCTCTCTTCGTCTCTCTCTTTCTCTCTCTGAGTCTATCTCTCTCAATCTCTTCGTCTCTCTCTCTCTCTCTCTCTCTCTCTCTCTGTCTCTCTCTCTCTCTCTCTCTCTCTCTCTCTCTCTCTCTCTCTCTCTCTCTCTCTCTCTCTCTCTCTCTCTAATTCTCTGATTTTTTTATTTTTTATTTTTTTGCAGTTTGTGCTGAGCAAATTCTAGAGTTTTAATCTTATTCTTCATTTTGGTTGTTTCTCAAAATCAATTACTAACTTAAAAGTTAAAATCAATTTTATTCCTAACCATCATATATTATTTACTTTTTTATATGTTTTGGACTATAGAATTTATAAAGTATGCTTAAATTGAATTTAGGAATGCTTAGATTACATTTAGGACATGATATTATACATATGCGCACCACCTGATATGACAATCCGATAATTAGTCCATGCCACCCGACATATCCTGATTATGCAATCCGACATGGATTTTAGCTGTCCGACATGAACCCGACATTTCGACATTTGAAACCTTGATAAAAGCACAAAACATGTAATAAAGATCGCTGAGAAATGTAATTTTTTCCTTTTTTCCGTTAACATCTAACCTTAATAATTCAAAGAAATCCATATCAATCTAAGTATTGATTAAAGTAAAAACTTCCAAAAAGAAACTAAGCTGTAATTGTTCCTAGCGATCTAAGTGTTAATTAAACTTCTGAAAAAGAACTAAAGCTAACCTCCTAACAGATCCACAGAGCAAGGATGCAAGAAATCTAAAAAAAAAAAAAAAACCATAATCACCACGACATGACTACGATCTCCATCCCCAATAATGAGAACAATAATAATAATCCAAACTTAAATATCAAAGATCCAAACCCACAAACCCATTATAAACTTCCAATGTTTAATCAATCTCCTTAAAGATGAAACCTTTATTGAACCATAAATGAATCTAAACAAAACAAAACACGCATCAAAATCGCACCTTTCTGCGACTCCCAACAGCTTTATTTCCAAAGAGAGAAACCCATTTATGATCCTTCAAAATTCCTGTATCCTTTGTAGATCGGATTCACACCAAAAAGCTGGAGATTTATTTTACTCAGGAAATAAATAAATAATTAAAAAAAGAAGCTGGAGGTTTCTCCAGATAGAGAAAGGAGAGAAACCCAGTTGAGAATTTGGGATCAAGAGCGAGAGGTTGAAGGAAAACGAGCAGTTTTTTCCCCCAATTTTCCTCCCTTTTCCCCCCCTTTTGGGTTTTTTTTTTTTTTTTTTTTTTAAGAAAGCGCGTGTTGGTTGCAGAGACAGGAGGGAATGACTAAAAAAGCAAGCAAGCAAGCAATGCGAGAAGGAGAGACTAGGGAGGTGACAGTGGGGCCCACGCCAAACTCTTTGAAGAAGCGGTCCGTAACGGCTGGCTGTTGTTATTATTGTTGCAAGAAATTTCCCATGTTTTTTAATTCAAAAATAACGCAAAAATCAAATTGGGATCCTCTACTAATATCTCCTAATGAGAATTGTGAAGAGTTGGTAGGGGGGGCCACGAGGATGAGTGGCAAAATGAAAGATCATGATGAAAATAAAAGGTCGGGATCTCCTTATTAGGACATATTAGGAAGTTTTCGTTAGTAGAGAATCTCAGTCTGCAAAAATCTGCTGGTTTGCTTCGGTTTGATCTTCTTCACATATTGCCCCTCGGGAGTTATTTTATTTATGGACAACTTTTACCTCAAAATTAGAATATTTCCAATTAGAATATTTTCACATTTAAATACCACATTGTTTTCTAGAGAGAGAAGACATGAGATTAGCATTGTATACGGTCCAGATACGGCTCGAATATGATACTTATTATATTCATATCTTCTTATCAATCATGGATATGGATATGCATCGATAAGAAATATTCATATCACATCTCCTAAAATCGATTATGAATATGGATATACATACAAATATGTAAGTGGATGTACTCAAGAATACAAAACGGATATGAAAAAACTAGATAATATTAAAAATATATATAGTTCATAAAATTCAAGAGAGTTCACTAATACGTTCGTTATATTTGAAAAGCTAGTATTATATATCTTGATCATCAAGATTAAACTTAAATTCATTAATATAAGGCTTAAAACGGTTACAACAGTACGACAAATATATCTTCAGATATTTTGAATACAGATCCAGATATTACACTAAATAATTATATCTGTAACAATATCCTATCGATTATAGATTTAGTAATCATATCTATATCCTAACAAATACGAATGGAGATGTTTTCTATGTTGATATTTATGAGCACCCGTACATGAGATCTTTTCAACTCACATTTTGATTTTAATGCTAAAAGAGTATTGTACCAACATTAACGGATGAATCTCAAGGGTTGGATCTTTTCCATTTAGGGCCTGTTTGTTTGCACGGAAGTAATTGTGAAGTAGCTGAAGTAAAAGAAGTAGAGACTACTTCTGCTACTTTCAAACAAAAAAATATGTTTGGTTCTCTGAAAAACTTACTTCCAATACTTTCTTAAATGCTTATGTGGCGCCTACGTGTCATCTTTACTTCCAAAATATTTTTCCAATCCTTAATACTCAGAAGTAGCTCGGAAGTAGTTGAAATGCATATTAATTATGACATAAATAATTTTTTATTAATATTTCCTTTATTAGTTACTTCTAACAACTTTTTATTGATAAAATTACTTCCTAATAATATTTCCAAATGTTATCCAAACAAAAAAAGTAAATAAAGAGGAAGAAGTTCTACTTCCATTACTTCTAAAAATATATGAAACAAACAAAAAAAAAATGTTATTTCCACTACTTTCTACTTCATAGCTTTGAAAGTTACTTCTATAATCTACTTCTTACTTCTAATACTTTCATCCAAACGGGCCCTTAGCAAGGAACAACCAACTTTTTCTGATGCGCTTAATATTATAATTGATGTTTTAAATGGTCCTAGCATTTCAGGTCTAACGTATTGGGATTGTGTCTTTAATTCTTTGTATAACTTCATAAGATGTTGATAAGGTTAGAGATCTATCATAATTAGGAGATTGAGTTTTATCATGATTAGGAGTTTGAATCCTATTCTAATTAGAAAGTTAGGCTAGAGATATGGTTTTGGTTTCCCTATATATATTTGTCTATTGTTAGAGAATAAACCAAGCAGGAGAGAGAGAGAGAGAGAGAGAGAGAGAGAGAGAGAGAGAGAGAGAGAGAGAGAGAGACAATATTCTTATAATCTAAGGTTAGTAGAGGGCGTAGCCTGATTCAAGAATATTGTGCGAGAGGCGAGGGTTTTGCAGTCTTTGTCCATTCAAAATATTGTAAGGAGTAGGTTTTAGAGATAATATGAGAGTTGATTATGTATGTGAGGTTGAGAGATTGAGAGATGAGAGTTGAGTGGTTCCTCATGTAGTTCTCCTGATACATAGTGGATTTCTCGTATTGTTTTCCGTGGACGTAGGTCAAAGTTAGTCGACTAAACCACGTAAAACTCGGTGTTCTTTTTTCTTAATTGTGGTTATTTTATATCTGGTTGCTTGTGTGTTGGCTTCCGAGTTGCATAGATTGTAGTAGGCGGGAAGACTAAAATCACCAACAAGTGGTAATAGAGCAATGATGATGGATCCGGGAGCATGTTCGTAAGATAGGCGTCGTACAAAAGTGAAGATCAGCGTCATTATAAGAATCAAGTTAAAGAGAGAAAAAAATATGCTGTAGTAGGAAATACTGTAGCCGCGACGAGAACAGTATTCACGTGAGTGAGGATTTTCTTACAAACTATTAAATCAAATCTGACATTGTAGATTGATTTATCTTTTGATCGAGAATTTGGAGGCGGATTTTGGTGATCCACAATTCGTTCCTTGGGTTTTTCAACGTGCTTAGTTCGTTTTTGATGTTGGTTATCAAATTCAATCTCTATAGTGACTAATTTGAATTTTGGTTATGGTTAGAAGATAATGACTTCTTCGGGTTCAAAGTTTGATATTCCACTACTCAACGACAAGATAAATCTGATGGCAGATAGGGCAAATGAGTATGCGATGGATAAAACTAGTGTAGAGAATCAGATGTGATTCTAGCAGTAGAGTTGTCAGCATATAATTATTCAGAGTCATCGTGAGAGCAGTAGTTGGTTGGTGTGTAGACTCGAATAGGATAATGCCAGATTAGGTAAAGCTTATAAGCGGGCACGACCGGGTGACACATAGGGAGATGAAGATGGTGGCATTGGACTTGAAGACTATGAGCGCTCATATTCGGTCCAAGTCAATTAATGGAGTAGATAAAGGCATCTGGCTCGTAGTGTGGAGTAGAAGAGGTGCACCAATATGATTCGAGATGAGCAATGCAGGCGGAGTACGAGGACAACAAGTGGGGGAAGGCTACTGTCAAGTTCAGTTTAGGAGGAGAAGCATGGTTGATTTGCTTCTAATGTCAGGGGTGGCGAAGATCTCTTAGTGCGTACAAAAGAGGTAGAGACGCCACAACAAGGCAGATGAAAGTGAGGGTCATAAATGCATCCAATTGGGAGTGCATGTGTTCTGATTTGAAGTGCGAAAGAAATAAAAAACTCTAGCGGGAGAGTCAAAGTTTCAAGACAACGATGATATATCTTCAAGGGAGTTTGGGAATCAAATCCAAAGTAGAGATTGTTGGGATTGTGTCTTTGATTCCTTGTATAACTTCATAAGATTTATATAGAGTTAGAGATCTATCATTATTAGGAGATTGAGTTTCAATCATGATTATGAGTTTGAATCCTATTCTAATTAGGAAATTAGGCTAGAGATAGGGTTTTGGTTTTCCTATATATATTATTCTATTATTAGAGGAAAAACCAAGCAGAAGAGAGAGAGAGAGAGAGAGAGAGCCAATATTCTTGTAATCTAGGGTTAGCAGAGGGTGTAGCCTGATTCAAGAAAATTGTGCGAGAGGTGAGGATTTTGTAGTCTTTATCCGTTCAAAAGATTATAAGGAGTGGGTTTTTGAGATAATATAAAAGTTGATTATGTATGCGAGGTTGAGAGATTGAGAGACAAAAGTTGAGTGGTTCCTCTTGTAGTTCTCCCTGATACATAGTGGATTTCTCGTATTGTTGCCCGTGGACGTAGATCGAAGTTGGTTGACTGAACCACGTAAATTTCGGTGTTCTTTCTTCTTGATTGTGATTGTTTTATATCTTGTTGCTTGTAGGTTGGCTTCCGAGTTGCACAGATCGTAGAAGGTGGGGAGACTGAAATCCCCAACGTAACGCTCATTACGAAGCCATGATATGCGTACATTTTAAGATGAGCAATAGATATTGGGTAAAAACGTGAATATAATTTCATAAGATAACCAGTGGCGGATCTGTTCTTGTTCAAAGTGGTTCATTTGAACCACCTCAGATATGTTAGTTTGTAGCCTAGTGGTATAAGCATTAGCTTACCTTCAAAGAGGTCAAAGGTTCAAAACCTCCTACAGCTCTTTTATGTTTCTAATTTCTCCTATAATCCTTATTTTCTCTTTACATTTCTACTTTCTCCTATTTTCTCTTTATTATTATTTGTTTATTATTTTAATGCTTTCCTTAGTAGTATTTGAAAAAAAAATTAGCGTTAATTTCGAACCACCACACGAGAGGTTGTGGATCCGCCACTGAAGATAACTACATATCCATTTTAACTACATATCTATTTTAACTAAAAGATTATGGTTAATATTTTTAATTTTTACATTACTTTTGATCGGGATTGTAAGATATTACAGTCCCTTTATCTCCAACCATAATTTATTACTATTTTTTGTAAAAAATGTATATTAATTTAAAGTTATCAAATTCTACCTAAACAAGACAAGGAAACTAATGCCTCCTTTGGTACACGAGAATGAGTGAAAATTGAATGCAATTCATACTTCTCATTCACGCTTTCCAGATATGATGTGTTTTTGGATGCTAGAGATGTTATTTCCACTTCTTATCAATTTTCACTTAATGTGGGAATTGTTATTCCCAATGAGTTATCAATGAATTGATATTCCTACTTAATTAAGTGAGAATGAAAATAATAAAATAAATTTCAGATATACTTTCTTAAAAAATTTCTCTCTTAATTCTCTAATCACACCAAAACATGTGAACGTGAACGAGCATTTCATTTCCGCATCAATTCTATTCTATTTCTACCTTTATTTCATTCTCATCTGACTCCATTCCTGCATACCCAATGAGGCGTAATGGAATGAAAATCGATAAAGAACTAAAATTTGAAATCAACTCAAAAGTTTTGCATGTTGGA